ATTTTTCTGAGTGCCTTTTTTCATAGATTTCGGCTTCAAATCTGAGAATAATTTAGTTTATGAAGTTCAGGGTATCACGAGGGACCATTAGGACATAAAATCTCGACAAAAAAAAATTTGAAATTTCATCGTTTTAGTAAGAAGGTACCCCCCTTATGATTTTTTTTGGAAAATTTTGAAAGGTCATAACTTTTTTTCTATTATAGATAGAAAGCTGAATCTTTCACTGAATTTTATCCCTTCCAAAGGACTATAATCTCTGAAAATTTCAGCTCATTTGCACTTATAGTTCCTGAGATAAAATCGTGTTAAGCAATTGGGGTGATTTATCAATTTTTCAATTTTTCTGAGTGCCTTTTTTCATAGATTTCTGCTTCAAATCTGAGAATAATTTAGTTTATGGAGTTCAGGGTATCACAAGGTACCTTTAGGACACAAAATCTCGATAAAAAAAAATTTGAAATTTCATCGTTTTAGTAAGAAGGTACCCCCCTTATGATTTTTTTGGAAAATTTTGAAAGGTCATAACTTTTTTTCTATTATAGATAGAAAGCTGAATCTTTCACTGAATTTTATCCCTTCCAAAGGACTATAATCTCTGAAAATTTCAGCTCATTTGCACTTATAGTTCCTGAGATAAAATCGTGTTAAGCAATTGGGGTGATTTATCAATTTTTCAATTTTTCTGAGTGCCTTTTTTCATAGATTTCTGCTTCAAATCTGAGAATAATTTAGTTTATGGAGTTCAGGGTATCACAAGGTACCTTTAGGACACAAAATCTCGATAAAAAAAAATTTGAAATTTCATCGTTTTAGTAAGAAGGTACCCCCCTTATGATTTTTTTTGGAAAATTTTGAAAGGTCATAACTTTTTTTCTATTATAGATAGAAAGCTGAATCTTTCACTGAATTTTATCCCTTCCAAAGGACTACAATCCCTGGAAATTTTAGCTCATTTGCACTTATAGTTCCTGAGATAAAATCGTGTTAAGCAATTGGGGTGATTTATCAATTTTTCAATTTTTCTGAGTGCCTTTTTTCATAGATTTCGGCTTCAAATCTGAGAATAATTTAGTTTATGAAGTTCAGGGTATCACGAGGGACCATTAGGACACAAAATCTCGACAAAAAAAAATTTGAAATTTCATCGTTTTAGTAAGAAGGTACCCCCCTTATGATTTTTTTGGAAAATTTTGAAAGGTCATAACTTTTTTTCTATTATAGATAGAAAGCTAAATCTTTCACTGAATTTTATCCCTTTCAAAGGACTATAATCCCTGAAAATTTCAGCTCATTTGCACTTATAGTTCCTGAGATAAAATCGTGTTAAGCAATTGGGGTGATTTATCAATTTTTCAATTTTTCTGAGTGCCTTTTTTCATAGATTTCTGCTTCAAATCTGAGAATAATTTAGTTTATGGAGTTCAGGGTATCACAAGGTACCTTTAGGACACAAAATCTCGATAAAAAAAAATTTGAAATTTCATCGTTTTAGTAAGAAGGTACCCCCCTTATGATTTTTTTGGAAAATTTTGAAAGGTCATAACTTTTTTTCTATTATAGATAGAAAGCTGAATCTTTCACTGAATTTTATCCCTTCCAAAGGACTACAATCCCTGGAAATTTTAGCTCATTTGCACTTATAGTTCCTGAGATAAAATCGTGTTAAGCAATTGGGGTGATTTATCAATTTTTCAATTTTTCTGAGTGCCTTTTTTCATAGATTTCGGCTTCAAATCTGAGAATAATTTAGTTTATGAAGTTCAGGGTATCACGAGGGACCATTAGGACACAAAATCTCGACAAAAAAAAATTTGAAATTTCATCGTTTTAGTAAGAAGGTACCCCCCTTATGATTTTTTTGGAAAATTTTGAAAGGTCATAACTTTTTTTCTATTATAGATAGAAAGCTAAATCTTTCACTGAATTTTATCCCTTTCAAAGGACTATAATCCCTGAAAATTTCAGCTCATTTGCACTTATAGTTCCTGAGATAAAATCGTGTTAAGCAATTGGGGTGATTTATCAATTTTTCAATTTTTCTGAGTGCCTTTTTTCATAGATTTCGGCTTCAAATCTGAGAATAATTTAGTTTATGAAGTTCAGGGTATCACGAGGGACCATTAGGACACAAAATCTCGACAAAAAAAAATTTGAAATTTCATCGTTTTAGTAAGAAGGTACCCCCTTATGATTTTTTTTGGAAAATTTTGAAAGGTCATAACTTTTTTTCTATTATAGATAGAAAGCTAAATCTTTCACTGAATTTTATCCCTTTCAAAGGACTATAATCCCTGAAAATTTCAGCTCATTTGCACTTATAGTTCCTGAGATAAAATCGTGTTAAGCAATTGGGGTGATTTATCAATTTTTCAATTTTTCTGAGTGCCTTTTTTCATAGATTTCTTCTTCAAATCTGAGAATAATTTAGTTTATGAAGTTCAGGGTATCACAAGGTACCTTTAGGACACAAAATCTCGACAAAAAAAAATTTGAAATTTCATCGTTTTAGTAAGAAGGTACCCCCCTTATGATTTTTTTGGAAAATTTTGAAAGGTCATAACTTTTTTTCTATTATAGATAGAAAGCTGAATCTTTCACTGAATTTTATCCCTTTCAAAGGACTACAATCTCAGCTCATTTGCACTTATAGTTCCTGAGATGAAATCGTGTTAAGCGATTGGAAAGAAATTTAATCGAGAGGCGTTAAATCAGGTAACCAAGCAGGCCACGCAACAAGACCACCTCGCCTCTTCCGGTCCACCGATTAGGGAACTTATGATTTAACACTTCTCGAAAAATTCTAACATAATGAGCAGAGTATAGCCATCATGTTAAAACCACATAGGTACTTGCCTTTTCTTCAAGTATGATCTGCAAGTAAGATGCGATAAATCTCAAAAAAGATAATCAAAAAGTGAGGTTCAAAGTATACATTACAGTCTCAACTTTAATTTAAAAAAATGAGTTCTTACTTCATTTCACCTGGTAAAGTTAAACCAACAACAAATTAGTGTGAGGAGTGTCTATTGTCGCACAAATTCGTAAATATCAACGGGTACATTCAACAGTGGCGCAGCCAGGGGAAGCGGCCAAGCGCGAGTCTGTCCTCAGACTCTTCTAGAGTGGTATCTATAAAATTAAATTCAATTTCAATATTTTTTTTTTTTTGAAAAAAAAAACATGTGTCTTATAGTATGCACAATTTGAGAAAGCATGTGCCGCATAGTATGCACAGCTTGAAAAATCATGTGCCTCATAGTAAGCACAGTTTGAAAAATCATGTGCCTCATAGTATGCACAACTTGGAAATCATGTGCCTCATAGTATGCACAATTCAAGAAAGCATGTGCCTCATAGTATGCACAGCTTGAAAAAAAATAATGTGCCTCATAGTATACACAATTTGGGAAAAAGCATGAGCCTTATAGTATGCACAATTTAAGAAATCATGTGCCTCATAGTACGCACAATTTAAGAAATCATGTGCCTTATAAGATGCACAATTTTTGAGGTAACGGATACATTCTACTACCTCTAACTTGAGCTCTCACCTCTTAGAACTACCCAAGGTTTCATCTTATCCACTGACACTACGGTCTTCAAACTTCTATACCCTTCTCTCAAGTCTTGGACTTCAAATCTATCATTGTTCAATACTTTGGTTATTCTGAATGGCCCTTTAAATTTCGCTAGAAGTTTTCTGCTCGTCCCTGTACAAGGGAAATCAGTCTTTAAAACCATCTCCTTGCTTATAAGCTTTAGCTTCTTTCTTGGACTTATCAAATCTTTGTTTCTGTTTTATTTGATCCACACTAATCTTCTCTGAAATGTTTTCACGTATTTCTTCTAAACTTTTTCTCTTTAGCTGTTCTTGAATCGCGCTCAATATGTGACTTTCAGAGATACTTCTACCCTTATATCCTGCCAACGCCTTCAAGGAAGTCGTATTAATGGACACATTGAAACTCTGATTTATTGCTGCTTGAATCTTTTTAACGGGCGTATCCCATCGATTTTTAGACATTCCTGCAATATAGTACGATTGTACCGTTCGCATTGCAGCGTAACTACAGAGATGAGAATATGTTTAATTCTATAACTTTTACAAAATGTTTTAAATGTATGTGACGTAAACGAGGAGCCTCTATCTGATATTATGTGTGGGTGCACCAAGAATATACATAAGGTAGAGCAAAGTTGTCAATTATTCAAAAATTGTACATGAAATTAGATTCTTACTAACGCGGAAAATTAAGGGGGTTGTCAGGAACAGGGTGACACCAGTGGCGTACACTCGATGGACTTACGAATACACATTCATATGAAAATATACAAAATTTAATAATCAGATGACAGTTATTCAAAAACTTTACATGGGATTAGATTCATGCTAACGGGGAAGGTTAAGGGGTTGTCAAAAACAAGGTGAAACCAGTGACGTATACTCGATCGACATACGAATGGAGATTTATACGAAAATATAATCGCGTTAGTCATCATTTCATTACTAAGATACTTCTGACACCCTGTATATTATTCGATATAATGTCTGTGAACCCTCTGTGTGAAAAATAAACCAATTTACTTAGTTCCTACTGGATTTCAGACTTTTTAAAATCAAAGGTTCCAATAGGTTGAGGTCGAACTATACAAATTATCAAAAAAATATCAAAAGGAAATAATATTTCGAAAAAAAAAAGAAAAATAGTTAGGATAACAATTTTAACACGAGACATTCGAGTGGTTTGCATCATTTTTCATCGAGACAATATTTTTGAACGCAAAATAATTCTTGACCTATTATTGATTTCTACAAAAACAATGAGAGAAGATAAAAGTTGAATATCACGAAGGAAAAATAAAACAATTATTTTTGAAATTTGGTAATACATAATTATGATAAGCACCAGTTTCCAACAACAAATTACGCCTTGGCTATCAAAATGTGGCAATATTTTAAGTAATCATAATTTTTATATTTTAAAAATTGATTTCAGATCGTTCCCTATGAAGGCACCAAATCCGTAATTCCCAGGAAAGCGCACGAAGGTCAAGCAAGGGCCAAATTCAACTTTGTAGCTCAAACACATTTGGAGCTATCTTTGGCCAAAGGAGAGTTGGTCACTATTACTAGAAAAGTGGACGATAATTGGTTCGAAGGCAAAATTGGTGGTAGAAAAGGAATTTTCCCTGTTGCATATGTTGATGTAAGAAATGGTCAATGAATTTTAAATTTTGTTTTAAATTTTGATTGTCCTTTAGGTTTTAATTGATCCCAGTGAGCCTGCTCCTTCTAATACCAAGCCTGTAGCTTCTCCAGCTGCTCATTCACTTCTTCTCAATGGATCAGCATCAATGGGTAGTCATCTTTATACACCATCTATTAGGGATAATGGTTATCACCACGCTAAACCAGTCCAACTAAGTGGTAGTGGAACTTATTCCACTTTACCAAAGGTTTCTAAAAGTCCTGTAGAGGCGCTTCATATAGAAACCCAATCTGAACCAATACCGTAAGTTGTTTTTTTTAAAATTTGCAATTTTTTATTATAAAAGTACCTATCAGGTATCGGGCCCTTTACAAATACACACCCCAAAACGATGACGAATTGGAGCTACTAGAAGGAGATACAGTTTATGTTTTGGAAAAATGCGACGACGGTTGGTATGTGGGTTCTAGTGATAGAACAGGAGCTTTCGGCACTTTCCCGGGGAATTACGTGGAGAAAATCTAGCACAAAATTTATTATTTAAATAGAATTTAAGTACTAATTTTTCGGACAAAACTAATCGCCACAAATTCAAACTCATAACCGAGCTAACAATTAAGTATCATTGCCAATTTGATTATACAGGGTGTTGCAAATTATACATTACAAACTCAATTTTCTTATATCCTGAGAATTTTAATGTCTGTCATGGATTTCAAAATATTGTAGTTAACACCGAGATTCCCATTGCTTAGGTATTAGCAATTTGTAACATCCTTGTATATTATTGTAAATATATAATTGCAATAAAATAAATTAGTTAATAAGAAATCTAGTCAACTGTAGCCCAAAATATTTATATTATAATCGACACCAAAAGTATCTTTTAGATAAGTAGATTAAAGTTCTTCCATATTTAGCCAAAACTACGTCCAATTATTAATAATTGCTTTTAATTTAGTAGCCCTGAAATGTTAAGACTTAACTTAGAAGAGTGCCTTTGAAAAATACAATACGTTTGTATGATTAACACCCCATATTATACAGACAAGACCAACATACCTACTAGACACACTAGTCCTATTAAAGCCTAACGTGTCTAGTAACCTTGTCCTTTCTGTATAAAACCTAATTACTTAATAATGTAGCTGTAAAGTATATAAAAATCGTTGTTATTTAGTTTTATACTAATATTTATAATGAATATAGCTAAACAATAATTTTGTGTTTGACTTCAGATTTAATATTATTTATTTGTTAAATGATTTTGAAATAGCGCAGCCCAGTGTATTATGAATATTTGTTTTAATAAAAAAGTAATGCAAAGTAAATAGTGGAATTTTTCTTTTTCTTAAATTCACCGAAAAATCCATAGGGATAAGAACACCACCTGGAAAGTTCTCATCTGATCTCAAAGCTATGAATAATTGCAAATATATTGAGAAAGTTTGCAGGAAACTCATGGATGTTTGGGGAAAATGTTAAGGAAATCTAATGAAATCAATCTCTAATTTGTTTCAAAAAATTCCAACATTTAGCAGTATACAGAACTACAACTTGAGTCAAGTAATTAATAAATTTTTGCAAAATCAGTAGAAAAAAAAACTGCTTTGTAGTAATACACGTGCTCATGAATAAGGTGTCGCTAGATAAGAACTTGCAATTAGCAAAAGGTTAAAAGTGCTAAACAAAAATAGAATTTTTCATAAAATATGCTTGCTTTTCTAAAGCCAAACTGTAACAGATCGAAGATAATAAAAATGAGATTTTGTTTTTAAATTCTGACGCAACTGAATCTATTTTATGGAAAAATACAATTAATAAATTCTTCCTCAATAAGTATAGTCATGCACTAAACAAATTATCACATTATTTCCCTAAAGTGCCAAGTCACTGTAAATATGATGTAAAAGTGTTAAAGAAGCTTAATAAATAGCTACGATAATAAAATCAAAATCACAGAGACCATGTCGTAAGATTTGTTCCATAAATCAAAAAATAATAAAATTTCTGATGCCGAGTATAAAATCAAAAGTTTGTAAAATCGGCAAATCAGTTATAGTTGAGAATCGGTTTTGAACCTACACCAAAATTTAATTTATTGTTGTATCAGTGTTATTAGTGAATTAATTGTCTTTCCTAATCAACGAAGATTGTTTTCCAATAAGAAAATAAAAGTAAGTAATTTATTAGTTTAATCTATGACTTATTATGTATAATTTTTCACAATTTTCTTTTGGTTTCTGCTTCTATTTTCTTAAATATTATAAAGGAAATTGTCACTTTTGCAATTATAATTATTACACTATAGGTGGGTATTCAAAAATAAGTTCTTCCAAAAAAAATATAAGGTTTGCAAAATAATTAAAAGTTCATCAAGGTCAAAATTAACCAAATAAAACTAGATTAAGGCATATCGACACCTCTAAGATAACCTTTCTTCAGATAAATTGATCAAACCACGAAGTAAAGTTATATGAATTACGCAAATATCGAAAAACTTTGTTTGGTACATAAATGATTTGCAAAATATACTATCGTGATTTTTTCATGATGCAATAAGCTTGTCAGAGTTAGATGGTGATAACTTTTTGAACGTGAATGATGCAAGAGAATCGTGACGTTATTTGTTCCAAAAAAATTATCTTGTTTTGATTCTTTTATACTTTTCTTATTTAGTATATTTGATTTTTTTAAAGTTTTTGTAATATGCAATCCACAATAATAAAATTGCCTGGTTTTCAAAGAAATTATTGCTTTTCTTCAAAATAATTCGGAGAAATCTGTTTTGTACAGTCAAATCAATCAGATTTGCAATTTATTCTTTTGCTGATTTGAACAAAAATTTTTGATTGTTACTGGCTCTTGATTAGGATTTGGATTTTTGGAAACTTGGAAGACCCATACTTAACTTTTTCTCTATTAAGTAGAGATGGAGAGCTGAAATTTTCAGCGATTCTTATCCTAGTAGAGGACTATACAATCTCTGAGAATTTCAGCCCATTTGGAAAAAAAAAATTTGATCCATTTAGTAAGGTAAGTAGGTACCTACCTACCTTATGATTTAGATTTTGGAAAACTTTGGACGGTCATAATTTTGTTTCTACTGAAAATATAAAGCTGAAATTTTCAGGGATTCTTATTCCAGTAGAGGACTACAATTCCTGTAAATTTCAACTCATTTGGACTTATAGTTCCTGAGATAAAATCGTGTTAAGCAATTTGGGATGATTTATCAATTTTTCAATTTTTTTGAGTGCCTTTTTTCATAGATTTCGGCTTCAAATCTCAAAATTATTTAGTGTATAAAGTTTGGGGAATCCCGAATGATCACCTAGCACAAAATCTCACCATAAAAAAATTTGAATTTTCATCATTTTAGTACTGACTCAGTACTTTTATTATTCTGGGCATTTGCAAGAGCCGAGAATAATCAAAAATTGAATCCTAATATTATTTTGAAGCTCCTCATTGACATAAATTAATTACACGATGATTATTCCAAAAATCGATCCCGAAATATCCGAGATTTTCTAACACAAATTTTCAACTTTACAGTCCCATATTTCCAAAACTTCTCCAAATAATGGAATTAAATCACATGTTTTATCTTGTAAACCATTCTATTCTGATTTAGAGCCATCATAATTTCATTCATATTTGTAAAATATTCCAGGTAAAACTTCGATTTGAACAAACTGATTGTAATCACTAATCACATAAGCTTTGTTTATGAGGCGTCAAAAACACCAGTTAGGGCCAATGAAATCGTTTTAAAACCGGATGACAATTCTTTGAAACAAACCTTGAGTGATTTCGACCAGTTTGTTCAGATAACTCTATTAATTTAATTGTGAATCAATATCGAATTTTCAAAAATAAATCATTGAATCAAACCCTAAGAACTGTCAATCATTGCCTCATAAATCATAGATTTGCACTGATAATAATTGAGTAATTATTTCAGGCACTTAATTTGAATCAAGAGCCGGGAATAATCAAAAAATTAATATCAAACTCAAACAATTCTGATGCTATTTTGGAGGTTTTGACATAAGAATATAACATGGCTCGTTCGTCGGATTTGACGCCGCTTGATCAGCTATATTAAGGATACGATGTATGTCTAATGATTCACAAAATCGTTATAAAATTTGTTTGCATATTTAGGAACTACAACTTCATAATCTTGACTCAAAGTTTGCAGTATTAGATCTTCGGAGCTACCAAAATCTGAAAATCAAAGTCATGTCTCATTGACTGCTGTTCAATCAAGACTTTCGACTCAAAAGTCTTCAGAATCGTGAGTTTTTTGGTTTTGAGTCGCTTCAAAATTTTCTGACTTATAGTTCCCATCAGAATGCCTCAAGTCTTCAGAATCTTTGGATTTTCAATGTAGGTAATACATTTTTGAGTCACTAATGAGCGCTTAACTCTCATCTTTCCTGGAAATTTCATAATTTTCCCTTGGATAGTTTTCCAGAAAAAAATAAAATGTAAGAGAATGCATTTTTGTTTAATTTGGATTTTGCAAGTTGATTTTCTTGATTTCCCATGTCGTAATTTTTACGAGGGGTTAATTCCTCCCCGAAATCGTGTCACAAATTCGTCCGGAATCTCCGAAATCTTTTCGAAATCCTACCGAAATCCCCGACATCCTTCCGAAATCCACGAAATCACTCCGAAATCCCTCCGAAATCTCTTAGAAATGTTTCCGCAGACCCAAAAATCCCTTGTAATTGGCCCAAAATTCATAAATCGGTCAACGCGGCCGTTTTTCAGTTTATACTAATATACTTTCGAATGGACTTAGGTATAAGATAAGTAAGTAATAAGTAACAGTCTGAAATCAAATTAAAATATTTGCGAAATCACCTCAAATTCTCCGAAATCACCCGAAATCCTTCGAAATCAACCGAAATCCCTCAAAATCGCTCTAAATCTGAAATCTTGTTACAGTGAATAATCCCTTGAAATCTTTCTGAAATCCTACCGAAATCACCCGAAATCCCTAATCGCTCTAAATCCGAAATCTTGTCACATTTTCCCCTTTTCCCCACGAATTTTTCACTGGAAAAGTTTGAAATTTTAGTATGATGAGCTCCAAACTCTTCTCTTTCTCTCCTAAAAATTTCATACTTTTCCGAGAATTTTCCCTTGGATAGTTTTCCAGGAAAAGAATAGAATGTCAGAGAATGCATTTTTGCTCAATTTGGATTTTGCAAGTTGATTTTCATTGATTTCCCGCAGTACTACTGAGTACTGACTGCTGAGGTAGCAGCCCGAGTAGCAACCTTATTATTTAGATTTTTGCAAACTTCCAAAAGTCATAACTTTTTTTCTGTTATAGATAGAAAGCTGAAATTTCCAGTGATTCTTCTCCCAGTAGAGGACTACAATCCCTGAAAATTTTAGCTCATTTGGACTTTCAGAAATAAAATCGGGTTAAGCAATTTGGAGTAAATTTATCAATTTTCCAATCTTCTGAGTTCTGACGTCTTTTTTTTCATAGATTTTGGCTTCAAATCTCAGAATAATTAGTACATGAAAGTAAGGGGGATAAACTGAAAGAACAATATATAATTAAGAAGAGCACCGAAAATAAGAAAAATTGAACCAGAGCCCTTTTGATCTCGGGACGCCATATTGGACTAGATCAACCTGTCAACATTGCCATCTTTTTCTATCATACGCCTAAATGCAATAGATATGCGCTATCGGGGGTAAAATATACACCCCCACAACAATAAATTGCATTAGTATCATTTTCCTATATTAGTCTAGGAAAATAGTCGAAAAATACATGTATTGCAAAAAAAATATTCCTACCCAAATGAACTTTTCAGGGATGATAGGGGGCGGGTGGGTGATCATAAAACCGAAAATATCAAACATTCACCCCTCTGGCGTTTTGCGCTATAGGGGTTGAAAGTGCGCCATTGGCCATTACTTGGTCCCTATTGATTTTACAAAAAAATGTTTCAAATAAAAGATGTGCAACATTATTTAATCTACAATGTTTATCTAAAGACTTTTTTGATCAAGGGCCGTCTGTGGTCATAAGGGCCATTTGAAATTTTATAATGAAAATGAAAAATTTTAACCAATGTGAAATTTTTTTTTACAAACATACAACATTTTTGCTTTATGAAGTTTTTACTCACCCCCTGCCGTTTTTCAATAGGGGTAGTTTAAAGTTTATTTATTTTTTCACAAAAAAAAAATTCCTTATAAAAGTTTTATAAGATTACATTTCCTACAATTTTTCCTTATCAACTTTTTTTGTAACTCGATCACCCCCATTCAGCGGTGGGACACTCCCCTTAGGGA